TATATATATATATATATATATATATATATATATATATAGGATATATAGGATATATAAAATATATAAGATATATATATATATATGCATTTCATTGGGTAAACATTTCTCGACAGTGCGCTTCCCATACGTATCAATTGTCCGTGGACATGCAGTTGTCACTGTTGGCTCCTGCATTGATATTCGTCTTAAAATTCTGGTCAAGGCTTGGGATATTTTTCGTGTTATTCATCGCTTCGTTGTCGACGATATTTCGTTACACGATACTGCTGAAGAACAACGTTACCATAATCTTTCATCACGGGTTCTCGTAAGTGTTCCTCGATTACATTTCGAAGAAGGAGAGAAAAAAAAAAAAAAAAAAGTACTCGATTCATTTCTAATTCGATTTTAGAATGGAGGAATTTTATACTATGAGCAATCTGATGTACATCATTCCGTTTTACAGAATCACGCCGTACATATTCGGCGTGGTTCTTAGCGTCCTGTTGTACCGCGTTGGAAAAAACGTTAAGATTCCCAAGGTATTTATCCTCAAGGTGTAAATTTCGAGGCTAGTTGTTTCTTTCTAGTAAAATATCTTTTTCAGATCGTGGTGAATCTAGGATGGTCGATCTCGACGATGATTATAATATGGTTGTTGTGCTCGCAATACAATATCACGAGGAAGTATTACGTGTTCGACATAATATCGCTGACCAATTTCGTCGTGATCGGTCAAATCTTGTGGACGTTGGCCCAGTGTTGGGTGATATTCGCTTGCTACACGAATAACGGAGGTATAATTTTTATTCTTTGAAACGAATCGATAGAATGAATCGAGAGGGGAGGGGGGACAAATTTAATTAAGAACGAATTCTTATTATTCGTTTATTGTTTCAGGCGTAATAAACAAATTCCTTTCTCATCATTGGTTCGTTGTCTTCAGCAAGATATCGTACTCGTTCTATTTAATCCAATTCTTATTTTTTTTCTACGAGGTTGGCACCACCAGATATCCGGAAGTTTTTTACCTATTTAAATTAGTACGTAGGGGACCATTTTATTCCATTTCGTCAAAATTTTTATCCCTCCGATTTATTGTTTAACAATTCAATGTTTCAGGTTAATTGTATGCAAGTAATTTTGGTTACGTTCTCGTCGATCGTTCTTACTTTGATCTTCGATATACCTATGCAGGAGATTAAAAACTACATAATGAAAAGATGAATAACGATCTTTAAAGATGGTCTATGATGATGATGATGTGCACATAAACTCAAAATGGATTAATAATGGCCAAAGTTCTGTATATATTCTATTTTCGTTCTTATCTTTATTGGCAGTTTCTTCGCTTTTTTTTTTTTTTTTTTTTTACAGTGTCCTTTAAAAAGATCTAGGATCGTAATATTTGTATCAAGATCAAAAAATAAATATTGCAACAGTCCGTCTAATAATTAAATCTCTTAAAATTTTCAAAATTTTTTCATAAGTGTACAAACCTTTACAGAAAGATAAAACAGTATTTTTTTCTATTATAACGTATATATGGAAACGAAAAGCAAAGTCATTTGTACCCAAAAGAGTACTTTCATTATATTAAAATAATTTATCGATTAACATTGACAGCATGAAATTTCTGTCATGGTAAATCATTATGATATTCGTACTCGTTACAAAACATATGTACATATGTGATTCATCATGTATATATTTAAAATTGAAATATAAACTGAGGATATATAAAAGGAACACAGAAATGAAGAAAATATAGATTCCTTCTTTTCTTCCTCTCATTTTTCGTTTATATTATATATTATTGAAATATATATAAATAACGTGTAAATATATTTCGAGACAGAAGAGAAAAATATTTTCAAAGAATATTGATAAGAATATGATATATTGATTATAATTAACAATAAAATTTCGTGAACAGTTAATGCTTAATATTTATTTACTAATAAAAGTATAAAACGGAAGTAAATTGACAGTTTAATGTCAATGATCGTTTATCTGTCACGAGATAATACTTTCATTCGTTACAGATCATTATAGGATAAAAATTCCAATAGGAACTTATAAAAAATAAGATAAGAGAAGATAAACAACCCGTTATCAATTAAAATTAAATGAAAATTTTAAAATTTATTCAACTGATATTTTGAGTATTGTCTATGATCACTTACAAAGAATAAATATAAACAACAAAAGTAAATAATGGAAGAAAGATGAGCAATAGAATGAAAACATTAAAATCAGCGCCATCTGCTGAAGAAGATAAATGAAACGTATAAAAAAAGAACAAATATGGAACAAGGATAGAGATATAAAAGAATTGATCGTCAGCGCCATCTCTCGAAGAATAAAGCTATCTCTTTGTTCGACATGGTAAAGTAGAATAGGAATTGAATATCGACAGACAAATGTTCGAAAAAATATCTTTGATGTTCAAAAGATGGCATAGACAATCTTATCTAGAATAAACTCTCAATAAAATTGAATCTGTTATATGAAATATAAAAATATTTTATTGGTTTCATACCAATTCCACACTCACCTTAAATAAACCTGAAACAAATGAACAATTAGTAAAATTCCAAAATTTATCTTTTAGCCATTTAAAATGAATTCAGGAATTATGAATACTTCCACAATTTCAATGGAAGAAATTTGGGCATTCAATATTCGCAACACTACTTGAACAAACGCGATTATTTATCAACGCAACACTACATTTTGAAACAAATTCAACAAAAATCGTTATTTCGATATATCTATAAAAAGCTACCGTTAAAGAAAGAATTTAATAATAAATGATACAAATTTTTAATTTACAATTTCATAAGAAACTATAATAATTTATAAGAAAAAAAAAAAATCCGATATCTTACAATTCGCGACATTAATACAAACCCGACTTTCTCATTTTAACGCAACATCAATATAAATGCAATTTTTATTACTAACGCAATAAAGAAACGCGAAAATTAAAACGCGACTTATTAATCAATCGCAACACTAATAAAAAATCGCGATGCCCATGATGACTGGATTTTGAACGATGGGCCGGCATGCAATCGGCCAGACAACACAACAACAATTACTACGTATTCTAAAACGAGCATAGTGACAAAGTAATAACTTCCCATCCTTTGGACCCAAAAAAAACAGATCCAAAAAATGAGAAGCCATTCGTTGCAGCCCCTCTTCGTGACAGTTTGTCGAGGCCTCTTCGATCTTCCTCCTTCGGGCGCAATGCCCGCTGAAACTTATAACTAGGCTCGAGATTCCCTATATTCGCAAATAAAGAGAAGAAGACTAAATCACGGAAACTGATCGCAGTGTGTGACCATTGTCCGTGTAAAATCTCGAGCTCGATGTTCGTTTCGAAATTTATTTCGTCGACCATGAAAATTCGAAAAATCGACGAGCAAAGCCAAATACGATTTTTCGATTTTTTTTGAAACAAGTTGTCACGCGAATAACCCGGCCAGAGACTGTGACAACTTGCCCGGCCCTACCTACTTACAATTAACAGACACACCAGAAGTGTACTACTTGCGTACTCCTACCTAGGCCTATATTTAAAAAGTGGCAAAACAGGCGTACCAACACATTCATTCTACGATTCTCACGCATAATGCTCGGGCGCAAAATACCTACACTAGGGAAAGCGTCCCGGGACGCCTCCGACACCCGAGCTTGGCACGCTACATTCACACTCTAACTGTACGTACCTTAATTCCCTGAAATCGACTGACGATTGCTATGTGATCATTGCGTAAATCGCGATAAAAATTAATCTTAATTGTAATTATGAATATTTACCAATGAAAAGATATGTTTTTTAAAGTGATTAAATTATTAGAATAATATGAAATTTGATAGCATTTTTGTAATTGGAAAGAGTTATAAATAGACGAAACGACGCAATTCCACAGCCTAACCACGTATACACAATGTGGAAAATACGTCGTGCACGATACACAACGCATCGTCAGTCGCTGAAAAATTATTATAAACTTATGAAATATTGTCGTCATGCCCATCGCCTCTCTCCCATCCAAGTAGCACCTGAGCACGTGAGTGAGATCCTGGCAATGGACATGGAAAGGGTTAAACCTGGAAATCCTGAGCTAAAAAAATGGATTAAATATTTTGTATCTAACGAGCTAATATTCTTTAATTCTAGATCTTATTTTAAACTTTAATAAATTCACTTTACAAATTTAATAAATTATTATTAAATTTAGAAAAGAAAAATATATTAACAATAAATAATAAATTTATGTATGATAATTTGTAATAACAAATAATTGACTTTAAGTGGAATATTAATGAAAATAACCTCAGGCGATCTCTTCATCAAAGCATATTTTCGAAATTATAAAATCAATATTCAAAACTTTTTGCTCTGATTTAGAAATCTACCTGTCGCGAAATATTTTCTTGCACATAATATTGGATATTTAAATATTACAATTATTAAAAAGATGCTAAAGTATTTTCAATTATAGAATCGAATTAATTATTTATATCATTCATTCTAGTAATTAGATATTATATTAACTATCAATATTATTTCTTAAAAATGCAACGTGCAAGAAAATCTATCCTGATCTAATAAATAGCACAGAAAAAAAGAAATGTTACTAGTCACGGATATAATAAATAACCGTGGACACTATGCTCGTGTAAAAATCTACGTATACAACCAGTCACTCGTGTCGATTCGGATCTTTCATCCTACGACATGATTGAGTGAACGGAGGAACATAAATGCATGCGACTCACCAGTAAATGCGAAGAATCTCCATCAATGATCCATGGAATGTTATTGCGAAGTAGTCATCAAATATGAGAAAACTTTAAAAAAAACAATATTATAATTTAAATACAGTACTAATTATTTGAAATAAGTAGAAAATATATAAAAATAATGAATTAAAATATTCTTTTGAGGAACAAGAACAGTCAAATAAATGAATAATGACAAATGAATAATTTAGAAAGATTGCCTTTGAAAGATTATCGATTATGAACGGATATTGAATGAATAATAGCTATTGAAAAAAATATTTATGTGCTATATAACAAATAATTCACATTTCAAGAAAGAATGGAATTAATTCTAAATTCATTACAAATCGTAAAGATATGTAACAATTTCGATTATCGAATCACGAAAATGGGAAAAGTAAGTGCACAGAAATATGGCAACTCAAAACATGTCGAAACATGTCGAAACATGTCGAGCATGACACGAATCCGAATTCCTAATTTCTTGGAAATGGATTGTTATAAAAAAATGTTTCGAATAAAAAAAAAGAAAAAAATTATATGAACATTGCATTACAAATAAATGCATTTAAAAATACAATATTATATATACGTATCAAATGTATATTCATGACAACTTAATTTAATAAAATAAAATTGATTTTGTACTTTTGTTTCAAAAATAGTATATAAAATAAATAAATTTATTAAAAGAAAAATATCAAAATCATCCATTGCAAATCATCGTACATACATGCTATATCGTACATGCTATATATATCAATTTAATTTCAAAGTTATTTCAACGATCAAACAATTATTCGTTCAAATAAAAATCAAAACCATAAAATAAATGTATAAAAAAAATATATATATTAATGTAAAGCAACAAGTGAATTCAAATCTAGATTCAACGAACTATCGAAACAACCTTGTCGTAAAAAATCAATAGAAAAAGAACAAAAAAACTCGAATCACTAAATAATTTCGTCATTACAATAATAAATAGATTATTAAATAAACGAAAATGATAGTAATTCATAAATTTAATAACAAAATATGGATAAAATTACTTACTGCATAGTAGAATTAACGAAGCCGACACGAACACTTTCTATCACGATAACTTTCCACAAGAGACTAACGACATATGCACAATTTGAATAGGAGCTTCCTGATTGGTTGGCATCATAAACTAATTTTATAATCGAAATCGAAAAATTAACATATTATATAATATATTTTAATTAGAATAATTAAAATATATATTCAAAATAAATTATTAATTTATTTATATATCATTAATTTTTTAATTATTTATTTAATTTCTAGTTATATATTTTTTCATTAATTCATTTATTTATTAATTTATTTATCGATTATCGATTTCTCGATTATTCATAGATTTATATATGTAGTAATTTATTTATAGATTTTTTACGTACTTCTTTGTTTTACATTTACATATCAATTTATTTATTTATCTATTTCATTCATTTATTTAGTTATTTATTTTTTTATACATTCAATTATATAAAAAAGTTTATAAATAAATTATTAAATAAAATAATGAATAATCGACAAATCGATAATTTATAAATGAATCAATAAATAAATTAAAAAAATAAATTAAAAAAATAATTTTCTTTTTATAAATATAGAAGTCTGATAAATAATAAATAAATTAAAAATTATATATAAATAAATTAATAATATATTTTGAATTAATAATATATTTTTTTTAATTAGAATAATTAAAATATATAATACGTTAATTTTTCGATTTCCGTTATAATTGATTTAGTTCGATGTAAACCAATCAGAAAGCCACTATTTGCTATTATTTTTAGTCTCCTGCGGAAAGTCATCGTAATAGGATATGTATGACAAGAAATGATTTGATTCGGTGATTCGAATATAATAAGAAATTTTATTTAAAATCTATTATTAAATTATTAATAAATTATTAATACTTTCGTTTATTTAATAATTCATTCATTA